TGGTCTGGGTTGAGCTAGTCCAACACTTAACCCAAAGATCAACCCGCACAATGTTGATCCCCAATTTTTGGGATCGGGGACCGACTTTGTTGAGCCTAGGACCACGGATTGGACCAACCCTATAGGTCTAGTCCGGTTCCGAGGTCAACCCGGAACCAACGATTTTTTGTTCTTTTTTCGTATTTCTTGAAAGGACAAACGTACTTTTTGAAATTATATATCTATTGACAATGCGATTTTGAGCAACCAAATGGTGAACACGGATACAAATTAAACATAAATCTAAGTAAGGTAACAACAGAAATCTCCACTTGCCAAAAGCAACAAAACATAAAAGACGACCACGTAAAATAAAATAAACAATAAAAAGTTCAAAATACATAACATAAAACGTGAATTATAGAACTTCATATCTTGTCCATTCATAAAAGATTGCTTCAAATTTTGAACACCTGAAAACAAAACAAACAACAAATATAGTTAATAATTAACAATAGTTTTAAATTGAAATTACTATTAGTGCAATTGATAGAACATCCCACAACTTATATTCATTCAATTTCAACATGTAAACTCTATTTATCGATGGTAATCTCCTCAGTAAAACAATCCACATATATATATACACATACATATGTGGATATAAAAAAATTCGTTCATTAGATATACAAAGGAATTAACAAGTAAAAAAGAAATATACATGACTTAGACTTACCTACTCCATACCACCGAGCTGTCCTCACTTTTTCAAGCGAAACTAATGCGACATAGCCATCGCTATAACTAGATCAACAACCCGTAGTTGTCTCACCGTCTACAACCTTCGAATTCACCAAAGTCAAAACAGAAAATCATTAAAACCTTAAGTCTAACTTATCTAAAACATGGAGAGACATCTCCTGTCGCCAATCACAACCAAGCAAAACACTTTTTTTCCAACAAAGTTAAGCATGTCATCCACAATGCCTCGTAATAGACGAATCAACATAAAAAAAAATACAAATATGAAACAACGAAAAGAATCGGGGACACACCTATAGTAGCAGAGATACAACTTATTCAGTTACTAGAGGCAGAAGCACGAAAGGGTAGGCAAGAGAATCATTTGCTGAGTTCAAATGAGTAGAGAAAAAATGAAGAGACTGCCCTGAAGAGATGGAAATGGAAGATTTTGGCAATAATCTAAGATGGAGGGAGAGAGTAAGATTGAGACTCTAAGAGAGGAAAATGGCAGAAGAAGTAGAGGGGCACTTATAGTTACATATCTAGGGTTTGGACCCAAAAAAAAAAGACAACTAAAGGGTTAATCCGGGTTGGACCAACCCTAAAGCCCCAAGACTAGGGGATCAACCTGCACAATACAGGTTCAAGTGGCCCCAGGAACAAGAACAGACCTAGTCCCCATGGGAACCGGACTAGGACCAGCCAGGTTGAGCCGGTCTAAGGTCGGTCTAGGGTTAACCTTGAACTGATGCTCACCCTCAATTTAGATCACCCTCGAATAAAGGTCACAACTCTGAGAAAAATCAGGTTGCTTGATAAATAGCTCATTCTTTAGTTAGACAATCTCACATGTATGTGTCGTAATTCTTCAAGGACCCTCATCGACAGATTTGCACGGTCAGTATTGGTCTCCTCGGCCGCACAAGAAAAAACCTTAGAGCTCCTTGAAACCCTAAAGTACTTCATCTCCAAAAAACACGAACCCTTCTTACTCAAGTCAAATTGTCTCAAACTGATAAGTGCTTTGCGGAATACCGATCGGTTTACTAGGGAAGTACGTGTACTTATTGCCAAATACCGTGATCTGTTATTCCAACTTTCAGACATTCATTTAGCCCGTTGCTTTAGAGAGGTCAACGTGGTTGCAAACTAAATCTACTATGTACCGAAGTTATCTCATGAAATTGGGTGTCCTCTCTCCTCAAGCCCTCTGAAATCTACTATGTACCAAAGCCCCATTTGTGGGCCTTCTCGTCTTTCCTTAGCAAATAAATAAATTCTTTAAACCAAAAAAAAAAACACTTGTCTTCGTACCACAATGATTCATGAGGGCTTCTCTAGTTCCCCAAGAGGGGGTGTTTACTTCGCCACAACCAAGTGTAATGTCTGGTAATATTTGTTACGCTCAAACATTTAAAAAAGGTTCTTAATAAGCACCTGAAGTCTATGGATTTGTGATCCGATTGCAGTCAAATCCCGAGTAACGGCTCCTCAAGCGATTGCAAAAGCATCTGAGGGCCGACCCTTGAATCGCTTTGTGAGAACAGGGTTCACTTGCATACCTGTCTGATTTGGGACATCAAAATCAAGCATGGAAAAAAGAAGGCAAGCAATCAAGTTGCCTGAAAAGAAGGAAATACTTGGTAGCTAGTACTCACCCATCCACACGCTTGTCTGGTCTCGATCATGCAGGTCACCTTCATCCATTATTTACGTTTGAGTTTTGACTCGTTTGAACACAGTTATGTCACATGTGAGAGGAGCCTCGTTTATAGCGGTAACACTTCGAAAAAAGTCGCATGCCGGACTCTTCTTCATAGCTCAAGACGGGAGCATATCATTGCTGAACTCCGTGAGAGAGGACCAATGTTCCATCAATTCCGAAATAAATGGTGTCGACCCTTTTCGACACCCGATACGATGTTGAGTCGCGACATTGGCGTTCACGGGCCAAAGCGCCAGTACGAAAAACCAGACAGTGTCACCTCGATTGCGTTTACATTCTGTTCGATTCCTAAGATGCATGAAACCCTAAGAAGATGGAAATAAGGATTGACAAAGTGAGGAACATGTCGAATCCTTCGTTGTACAAGTGTCCTTGTCGCGTTACACCTCACGTGTGGAACAGCGACAAAAAGGAATTCCAATTGATTGGGAAACGAACAAATCACATGATTGCTTCGGCGTAAAGAATCCCTCTTTGCTAAACATAAAATCTGCATAAGGACACATTCATCCGGGCCTGCTGGACAGCTCAGATCACCCTCCTTCATTACTAATTTCTTCCCCCCTTTTTTTAGATATTTTTTTCTTTGTTTACAGGCCAAGTCCAATCACAATTTAAAGGAATACCCAAATTGATCCTCGTAATAAAAAGAAAGAATAAAAAAAGGTTTGTTCCTGAAGGAAAAAAAACTGTCATTAAATGATTGTATATGGTATTTTATTATAAGATGAATTTGAATTTAATTAAGTCTTACACCGAATAAAAATTGACTTGTATGTGAAGTCGCGATATTTGGTGCCCGTTTGACAACTATTTAATTTCAATCGAGTTTTGATGGTCTTTCTATCCTAGTGGCACCGGCTTTCTCTTTCTGGTCCTTACCAAAACTTAGTTGCGCAAACTCTTTTATTAGTAGAAAGGGTAAGAAGAGCAACCGGCATCGGTAATCCCTCTTAGGCATTTATCATAGGAGTTTCACACTGGCACGAGTACTGTCGGCATGTCCAAATACTCCATGTTGGCCCATTTGGATGGAAGCCCAAGGAAGGATATGGTGCATGAGAATTTTAATACCTAGACTTAGTTTTGCAGACTCTTTTATGAGTAGAAAAGGTAGGAAGAAGGGCAACCGGCATTGGTAATCCCTCTCGGGCGTTATCATCGCAGTTTCACACCGGTGCAAGTACCGTCGGCATGTCCAAATCCTCCATGTTGGCCCATTGGGATGGAAGCCTGAGGAAGGATATGGTGCATGAGAATTTTAATCTTTAGTTGCTTCGAAGCCCATAAACACTTGCTCCAAAAAGCCCGTCAAAACAATACGAAAGTTTCCCAGATGATCCACATGATAGGACCGACTCTATGCTATATTGCTGGGAATTTCACCAAATGACAAAGAATTCGAAAAAAGATGGGAACATGAAGCCCATCAAAGCTTGGAACCAGCAAAAAATAGAGTCAAGAGAAGATTTGGATCCTTCAAATTGCACACTGGACCATACAAGATACCTTTTATAAGAGAAGCTAGAACATATGATGGGGCAGAGACTGTTAAAAGCATGGGAAAAAGTAGATGAATGTGCAAACGTACGAGTCTTCCAAAGCAAAAGGGACAGAAAGTTATACACAAGAGCTGGAGACATGGACCATCTGGACCTTTCCATTGTGTGTGTTTGGGGCTTTGGCCCCCCCAAACCCCAAACTAAGGATTCGCACCATTTAATCAATTAAGCTTTACCATTAAGGCCATCGCCTATGTTGTTCACTTGTGGGCTTCTACGGCATTTTAGGTGAAAACCCACATTGCATTATGATGATATTATTCACAATATTCGCGTTTTACTATGATATGAACCTCGTACGATTAAAGAATATGACAAAAGTCGAAAGACGAAATCGAAACTGAAAGGGATGATTACTTCCCACACCCCTACTGAAACGTTGCATTTTCGAGAGTCGTGAACCCCCGGTGTTCCTCTTGGGAGAAATTATACGTTGCATCCTTCACTATACACAAAAGTCTTCTTTGTATGAAATTATAAAGGGAGAAGCATACCAAGAACCTTAAAAGAAAAGGGATAATAGCATAAAGGTTTCTGAACTTTAGCCCAATGTGCAATGACGTCCCCAAACTTTGGCCTAATATGCAATTCCGTCCCTAAACTTTTTAATTTGTTCAATGTGATCTTTAAACTATTAGTAAATGTTCAATATAGTGTGTAGACTATATGAAATGTTCAAAAGTTTAGGGAACACATCGAATATTGGATCAAAGTTTAGGAACCATAATAAACAAATTAAAAGTTCAGAGATGATATTGCTTATTGGACCAAAAATTCACAGATCATATTAAATAAAATAAAAATTCAAAGACCACCTTGCACATTAGATCAAAATTTAGTGATCGATAGTACCATTTTTCGTTAGAAAATTTAAAACTCATAGCAAAATCGAAGTGCAATTTAAATCCTAAAATTTTGTATGGAATTATATGTCCAAGTGATGCCAATTTTAGGAAATACGTTGGTTTTTAGTACTCCCTCGCTTCCCTCCACTCCTCCTCCAGCCCAAGCGCGGCGGTAGTCTTCCTAACTGTTCAGCCCAACCTCGTCGCTCCGATCCGCCGCCGCCGCCGCCGCCGCATCAACACCGAAAATCAAGAACCGTCGCTTCGATCAACCCCCTCCCCCCAAACCCGCTCATTCATTTCTTGAATCCTTGGACGCGAAGCTTTCGATTCGTCTCCCTCTTCTCACCAGCGGCATTAATTACCAGTACCCCATCCCATGTCGGCGCTCGAGCTCAGCGGGTCCCTGATCCCCTCCGTATAAGTAGACCGTCGCGGCTCCGTCGCTTGCCCTTACGCTATGCGCCGCCTAGTCCATACCAATCCACGCCGTTCGCGGGCGGCGGAGGCGGTTTCCCGCCAAATTAGAGCTCTCCTCTTCTGCTCAATGGGGAAGATGAGGATGGGTCTCGGCGATGGCGGTGAGCGGTCTTGGCGGAGGAAGGACCCGAGTTCACGCGGCGGTTCTGGGGTTCATCCTGACCCTGTGAGTATATTCTGTTTCTTGTAAAAATTCGTCCTTTTTTTTTAAAATCTCTCGTAAGTTGTTCTTGAATGTGGAATTCGCTGACGTGGGTTCGATGGAAGTTTTCGTGAAAGGGGTCATTCGAACTCGTTTGTGATACTGATTTATGCTGCTGAAGTTCCGAGGTAGAATTAGGCCGTGAACTTGCGGTGCATTGTCCTGTTTTTTCTTGTTTCTTGATATGAAGTGTTGGGCTGGTGACTGAAAAAAGGGAGGGAATCACCATCCCCTCTAAGTATAATCCAGAACCTTCTCCTTATGTTGCAGAATTAATTGGAGCAGAACATGATATGAATTGCTATTTCCTATATGTTTTTCAAATCTTTTGGAGGTAGTCTGTCTTTTCGACCATCGATTGTTTAAATTCAAGTTAAGATTGACAGTATTGGTGCAGCAAATGTCTTCTTGACTGTTCATGCTCTTCATTATCAGGTTGGGGATGATGAAGGTTCTTGTGGACTTTCTTCTGCATCTGCGGGCAGTAATACGCGTAATGGGGAGCGGGATCCACGGATAATGATGATCGGCGATGTTCCCGTTGATCTTGAGGTGACCCCGAATTATCCGTTATTCTTCTCTTCTTCATTCAACTGCAATGAGAGTCCCGGGAAAAAAAGAGTTGCACGAGAGAGGGACAGTGTCACAGAAAGTGAGAAATCAACAAACCATTGTGAGGTAAAGGCTGCAATAGAAGTTGTACATGAGAAAGAATCGGCTTCATATGACACCGGTACTCATAGGAGAAGTGATGGTGTAGTCAGCTTCATCAAGAGGAGAACACGAGTAGACCTAAGGAATCAAGGGATGACTAGGTCAGATAGTTCAATTCGAGTTGAGAAGTTGCATGCTTCTACTGGTTTGAAGGATACTAGGAGCTCGAGTGCTTCCATTTTTGTGAATAAGAGAAAACCGTTCGATATTTATCGTCCTCGAAGAAGACGGTTGGACTTTGCAGAAACTTCTGACCACATAGAGGATTGTGAACACACTCGTGAAGCAGTACAATTGGTGGAACCGGACAGCCGAGTGTTGAGGCCTGGAATGGTTCTGCTTAAGAACTACATCACCCTCAGAGAACAGGTAAGTTTGCGCTCGTTCAGTACAAGAAGTTTTAATTTATTTTGCTTTTGGTATTCCAGCTCGAAAAATTTAGCCAACAAAACATTTTCGTTGTTATGGTCATTGTTTTAAAGTATGGGATGTATCCGATATATATTAAGTAGTCGGCATGATCTATGACTTCAAAGGATATTCATTTTTGTAATTTCGAAACCTGCATGTACTTCCTTTATTTTTTTGTCATGTTATTCTTCATGTTTAATATTTCAAATATCTATCTTCATATAGACTGCTGGGTCTTAGCTTTTCGTCTCGGAGTTAAAATTTTATCCCATATCATTTTATCTTACAGTACATATTACTAAATATTGCAGATTGAAATTATAAGTAAGTGTAGAGAGATTGGTATTGGTCCAGGGGGTTTTTACCAACCAAGTTACCAGGATGGAGCGAAGCTCCGGTTGCAGATGATGTGTCTTGGTCTTGACTGGGATCCGAACACAAGAAAGTATGAGCGACAGAGACGAGTTGACGGTTGCAACACACCCGATATTCCTAATGAGTTTATTCTAGCAGTCAAAAGGGCAATCGGAGATGCACAAGACCTTGTTAAGAAGGGTGACAGAAGAAGTAATTTCAGAAACGGCCTCCCAACTATGTCTCCAAACATATGCATCGTCAATTTCTATACTACCACTGGGCGACTTGGTCTTCACCAGGTCTGTGATTCAGTAACTATGTCCATTGTTCTTCCAAATAAGTGAATTGGATTTTTGGGATCTTAGCACAGTTTGTCATTTGAAATGTTTCCTCAGTGTTTGTCTTCATCCATTGTTTCAGTTTTCATATTAATCTGCATTTCTCGTAGTCATCTTTGATAAATCGTGTATGTCGATTGGCTCGGAAGCTTGTTAATCATAATGTCAGTTTCGTCTTTCAAGTCCGATACTCGTTCAGAATTCGATTTTCTTGTGAATGGTTCTGCTTGAGAACCTGCAATGGCTGCTGAATTCTTTCTTTCGCCATACGTATTAATCTGGATTACAATGCAAAACAAAACCTCTTCCGTGGGTTTTGTTTTAATTATTTCATTTGATGCAGAAGTTGTTTGGGAAACTTCTCACCAGATTAGTCACTCTTTTACGTGGCAGGATCGCGATGAAAGCCGGGAGAGTCTGCGGAAAGGATTACCCGTGGTCTCGTTTTCCATTGGCGATTCAGCCGAGTTCTTGTTTGGAGACTACAGGGACGTGGACGGAGCAGAGAGAGTTATGCTGGAATCAGGTGATGTAGTGATATTCGGAGGCGAGTCGAGGATGGTGTTTCATGGCATATCGTCCATCGTCCCTAACTCCGCTCCCAAGGCATTGCTCGATGAGTCCGGGCTCCGCCCCGGACGCCTTAATCTTACCTTTCGACAGTTCTGAATTTTTCGTGGACGTGTTTGCTGTCTGGTTAAATGTATTAAAGTGCAAGTGCCGATGTATATGTCGTGATTTGCCATGCTTTTTATCCTTCTGATGTTTCTTTTCTCTGGTTATTCTTTCCAAATTCATGTATAAGAAGCAATCAACCTCATTAAAACCAAAAAGAGAAAACAGAGAAATGTCAGGAAAAGCACAAAAAAAGTCATAAACCTGTTATGTTAGTACCAATTCAGTCTTAAAACCTTTTGATTGAACCAATTTAGACCTAAATATTTTAACATCAGTGCCAATTTAGCTTGGAAATTACTGACGTAGACGTTGGTTATACTACACGGCATTGCTGGTGCTAACATGAACATTTTTTTTATAATTTTAAAAAAAATCGAATTTTTTATTAATTTTTTACTTTTCTTTTCCTTTTTTTTTCCCTTTTTTTGTTTCCTTGCTATTTATTCGTTTTTCTTTATTGTCCTTTGCCAGTCACCAACCTCCGTAATGGCCTGCGAAGGTCGTTGGCCGCTGGCAAGTGCGAGGGCCGGGATGCCCTCGCCAGCCTTGGCGGGGGTTGGACAAGGCCGCCCCTCGCCAGATCGGCCTTTGCAAAGGGTTAGACAAGGGACCTCCATCGAGGAATTGACCTACATCGGATTTGCACCTTCGATATAAACCCTAACTTTGAAATCGGACCTATTAACTCCCCGAATTGGAGCTCCTGATCGACATTCCCCAATCGACTCCACCAATTCAAAAACACTAAGCAGGACGCAAACACGAAAAAATCAACCACTACTCGTCAGGGATGCAAAATCCGATGAAACTTTGGGGGAAACTTTCTAGGAAAAAACTGAAGCGGAGAGAGAGAGAGAAATTTGCCGGAGGCCGACGAGGGGCGGCCTCACTTCAAAAACGCTAAGCAAGACGCGAACACAAAAAAATCAACGACCGCTCGTCAGGGATGCAAAATCCGATGAAGCTTTAAGGGAAACTTTCTCAGAAAAAAAAAATGAAGTGGAGAGAGAGAAATTTGCTAGAGGCCAACGAGGGGCAGCCTCCTCTGGCGAGAGTTGGGCGAGGGTCCCCTCGCCGGATCTAGCAAGGGCAGCCTCGCCCAGACCTCGCCGGCCCTCACCAAAAGCCGACGAGAGCGTCCCGGCCCTCACTTTCGTTGGTGGCCAACGACCTCCGCTGGCCATCATGAAAGCTGGCAACTAGCGGAGGAAAATAAGGAAAAAAGGAAAAAAAGAAAGGAATGAAAAGAGAAGAAAAAAGAAAAGAAAAGAATTCAAAAATTATTAAAAAAATGTCTACGTCAACGGCAGCAGTACCACGCCATATTAGCAATTCCAGATGGACTGAATTGATATCAATGTGAAAAAGTTTAGAACTAAATTGGTCCAAATGAAAGATTTAGAATCGATTTAATATTAATGCAATAAGTTTAGAATTTTTTTTTTCTTTTCTCGAGAAACGTGTAGTACCACAGAATCAAATTTTCACATTCGGGTCATAATTTAGTCACTGTGATTTTTTATTTGTATTATTGCAACAAGTTGTTTTGAATCACTCGCAAAGTCTTCCACGGCTCTTCCCAATGATTAACTAGGTTACAATTATTTCTATTTGAATATATCTTCTTCTTCTTATTCTTCTTCTTCATTTAATTTTTTGCCTTCATTCCAGAAACAATATTTCCTAATGTTGTTTGGGATTTCCAACCTCTGAGAGCGGCCGGTGGGATGGATGGGATCGCACACGATGCCCGATTTCATTTTCTCATTACTCATTAGATTTCAGTGCAGCAATTTATTACATTATATATATTTAAAGTCGAAGCCAAGAAGCTATCATCTCACACGCTGATAACGGGACACTTCACTTTTTCCTCTATGATAATCACGTGGTGAGGGAGCCACATTGCATAACTCCATCACATGGCCATGCACAATCAATTAGCAAGAAACTGGTGATTTGTCTATCTCAAACGTCCATCATTTATTTAATTTAAAAGGAACTATGTTCAGATATATTCGACCAATAAAATTGATAAAGACAAACAATTTTGGATTATAATCTCTTACGATTCAAATATAATTTAAATAATGGACAAGGAGAGATGACCTCGAGTTTTAACTAAACCATTAAGATTGAATAGAAGTATCATTTGAAAAAATATAATATGGGGACAAAGGAATACATATTCTCTAAAAATAAAATTGAATTTATGATAGAACTTAGGCTCCGTTTATTTCGCGGAAAATGAATGATTCCTAAAAATGATTGTATATATTGCTTACAAAAATGAATGAACGAAAAATACTTTCATCGTTTACGATAATGTTTAGATATAAATTGTTATCAATGATAAAAATATTTTTCATTTACTAATTATTTAAGCGATACAAGCAATCATTTTAAGGAAAATGTTTGCCAAATAATTTATTTTTTATGAAAGAAACGGAGCCTTATAATATTCACTCTTCCTTTCTAATTTTTCCATTATACAAGTACCAAATAAATTTTAGCAAAAAATTTGAGTTTACACTTTCAGCCGCATTCTGCATTTCCGATTTGAGAATATGTTTACTTTAGTTTTTCTAAGCTCAATAGATAACAACCCTCAATAACATGATGTAGAAATTATTGACACTCACAACAAAAGGGAGAATAAACACTACGTTTATCAATACATGTCCGCACAAAGCGCGAGCTACGTAACTGGTAAATAACACTGCCTCATTCAGGATTTCGTCTCCTCCTCCAGACAATTCATTATCATAGTTATTAGGAAAAATTCCAAATACGAGCTCGAAGGTGAGCCTTATTTGAGATTGACTTGTCCACTTCAGACCTTTATTTGAAATTGACTTATCCATTTCAAGTCTTTATTTGAAACAATATCCACTTTAGATCATCTTTTGAGAAAATAATACAACTTCGGGTCCTTAATTGGAAATTTTCTCCGGTTAACATTATGATCACAAGAGTTATTTACTCCAGCGCAGAGCCAGAAAAGCCAAAGTCACAAGAGTTCTTGTTGGGTTTCGTTTCTCCTTGGTGATGTTCTCTTTAGCCTGTGAGCAGGAGCAAGATAAGTTGGGCCACGTCCTCCCTGCATCATCGCAGCAAGCAAGCAAAGCAAGATAAGATTCCCTCTCTCTCGCTCCCCCAAATTATGCAGACAAATGCGTCTTCTAGCTTCAGCTCTCATTGTTCATGGTAGGTGAGTGGGACCTTCACTTGGCCATCCAACGTGTAATCATCGGTTTGTCAAACGTCCATCAGATGATCATTATCAACTGGTGTCTCTTCATGGCCATCGATTTCCATTAAAGAATGGGGAAACGTGGTGTTTTGGGTGGGAGTTCATTTGATTAAAAGTGATCTGTCAGCTTCTCAAGTGATCTTTTTAGGGCGAGTGCTGCTTTAGAATTGCAGCAGATGTTTATGATGCAACGCAAGAGGGACGCTCTTGTCCTCTCAATGGCAAATTCTTAGGAGGAAATGCCTAGGCATCGAGTAAAGTAACTCGCTCATTTGTCACGCCACCGAGGTGAGATTAGAGCCAGATTGTTTTGCCCTACCGATTTGGTCCAAGCATGCTCAAACAACAGAAACCAAACCTAGATAACATCTTATTTCGTTTTTTCAGGTATTATATATGTTGGGAAAATGACATAAATGGTCTTTGAACTATGACTTAATGTGCAATGCGGTCCCTGAATTTTTAATTTGTTCAATATGGCCCTTAAATCTTAGCCCAATGTGCAATATCATCCCAGAATTTTTAATTTGTTCGATGTAGTCCCTGAACTTTTTGTACATATTCAAACTAGTCTCTAAACTACATGAAAATGTTCAATGTTGTCCTTGAACTTAAGTTGATGGAAAGATAACAATGGTTATTTTCATATAGTCTAGAAACTAATTTGAACATTTATCCAAAGTTTAGAAATCACATGAAACAAATTAAAAGTTTAGGGACGATATTGCACATTGGACTAAAGTTTAGGGATCACATTGAAAAAATTGAAAATCCAAGTATCACATTACACATTTAGCCAAAATTCATTGACCATTTGTGTCATTATCCCATGTATGTTTTAAATTTCTATTCTAGTTTCAATATTTTCTAAATCGATAAAATGGACCGCCCATAGAAACCAGGCTAAACTGGAGCCAATTGGGAGTAGTCTATCATAAGATGATCATGATAATTGAATAAGGGAAGGTTATTCATAAGTTAATGGAAGGATAGCAATGGTTATTTTCATATAGTCTAAGAACTAGTTTAAACATTTACTCAAAGTTTAGAGATTACAGGGAACAAATTAAAATTTTAGGGACGATATTGCACATTGGGCTAAAGTTCAAGGACCACATTAAATAAATTAAAATTTAATGGATCACATTGCACATTGGGCCAAAATTCATAAATCACATGTGTCATTATCCCATATATGTTTTCTATTCTATTTTCAATATTTTCTCAAATCAACAAAATGGACCGCCCACAGAAACCAGGTTAAACCGGATCCAATTGGGAGTAGTATATCATAAGATGATTATGATAATTGATTGAGGGAAGGTTATTCATAAGATGATAGTTAATTGTTAGTTGTTATGCAAGTCATTATAAAGAATTTTATTCAATGGCGGTTTTTTTTTAGGTGAAGAGTTATAGTCGTTGAACATTGTGCAGGACATTATCTCGAAATGAGAGAATTTCAATCCTTCGAAGAAACTCCAAAATTGCAAAACCCAAATGTTATGCACCCCATTTATATGACACCATTTTTCCTTTATTTATTTATTTTTTTTTTGGTTACTCTTCTGCAATTTCTAATATCGATCCAAGACTGTTTCACCAAAAATGATGAAATATCCTTCTAGAATAAATGGATTGGTAGAAATCGATAAAGGTTGTGAAGGGTTTTTTTGTTGATTTTGGACAAGAAAGCAAATGACAAGTAATTTAAATATACAAAAACTAGAGATGTGTCCAGCCATATAAATTGTTAGAAAGTAAAAATAAATGATAAATTCACAAGAACATTGAGTTTTTTAATTGATTAGAGAATTGTACAATAAATACACTTGAGGTATTTATAAC